AAAAGCGAATAGTAAGCTGAGGCAAAACCACAGTTAACTATTAAATTGGGTGGAACTCGAAAAAGATTAATCTAGCAAACGTATAGTTGTCGACTGGGCAAGTTCAAGTGACTTCACAGGAGTCCTTTAAGACGAAATTCGACCTAATCTTATGGACTAAGCATAGTATCTATGATTTACCAACTTTTTTCTTTTTCCTCTCTTATAGTTAATATACCTAGGTTCCAGCCTGTAGGTATTTATGACCCAGTGCTACTAGACACGGAAGTCCGTTAAGCGAAAGCTTCTTCTATTTCGTCCACAACCATTTGAACCATTTTGAAAATAATAATCATAAATAAGGAGGTCCTTTCGAAAAAGCGCGTTATGGCCCTTACTAGTTGATGTCAAACGTATTCGGTTAGTTTAGATAATTTTCTTGTACGTCATACTGCATTTCTTATGACGAGTTTTCTCTAAATAAAGCCGAAAACGCAAGTCAATAATTTTTTAGGTGTGGCTCGCTCATGCAGTAGCTTTGAGGTTCCTGGGTTTCTGCATGAATAATTATCTGACTTACTTGGCTTGGAGCTGTATCGTATTTCAACACACTCCACTACAACTCCCTGAGTCAATCCTTTTCAAGGGTTTTATGAGGTGTTTAGTCAATTTATAGTATTGATACTAAGTCATCTGTTTCTCTCGCATTCCCAATCTCCCTATTTTGGGGAAAATTTTGCCGCAATAGAAAACTTTGGGAAAACAGCACAAATACCCCGAAATTTCCCTAGGTCTGCGGAAAATCTTGGGTTTGCCCATGAATATTATAACACTGGGGTTTTTCCCCAAAGTAGGGAGGTCGGGCTTCGATATTGAAACTGGGTATCTTCCAACCAATTTCTATGACGTCAAATGATACCAAGAATTCCTGTCAAAACCAGCAAAATGCATAAACAAGACTGAGTTTAAACCAAGTTCTCTCCAATTATGTAGAGGACTGAAATTCTGTCGTAAATTTTCTAAATCAGTCGAATTCCTCCTAAGAAGTCTATCCTCCTTAAAGTCTTTCATCAGCCAGATTTAGGATCCCCCATCATATTCACTTTCAAAAGTTGTACTGAGCTAAATATGTTAAGCAGATCAGTTACCTCGGGTTTGTTATTTTTGTTATGGTAATTTATAACAGTTCTGACAAGCTTGGTTGTAAAGATCTATAGTTTTTCGTACTAATCACGAAGTAACGTGTTTTTCGAGTATCGAGAAGACACACCCAGTAATCCCGAATCGTAGCAAATACTTCACTATAAATCTACATATATGATAGCATACTCCAAACTTATATAATCTAGTGTGGTTTTGTTGCCACTTATTCACCAGTAGTGTTGGTGTTTCGTATCAATCATACTTTCCTCTGTTTCAGGTTGGCTTCTCCTAACACCATCACCAATATTCTCATCTCCATAATTTACGTAGCTTTCGTTACCTTAACGTGCTAACGATTTTAGCCAACATAAGTATCTTTTCCTTACTTTCCCAACCGTAACTGCTACATTGACTTGGTGGTTGTGTTCGGGTATCGTTACCCAACCGAGTTATATTAGGTGGGATACATTCCCTTGGGTCTTACCATTCCAGGAAAGTCGTTTGGAGAATGATAAGACTAAAAAACATCAGATTAAATCCCAGGGGCGAAGTTGCACTGCTGGCTGTATAAGGATTCTAAAGCAGTAAGATGTATCCGTCGGATAACAGCATCCGCAACGATGCTGCCTTCTCAAAACGGAAGGGGAAAGTTGGAAAAGATTGACCTTAAAATTTCACTCCTCACCTTACTGCACGTACTTCCGTCTATGGGGGTAGGTTTTTTTTAAGTGGGGGGATAACCTACCAAGAACTTCACATAAAGAGGTCATGGGCGATCGGCCTGAGACGGATGTCCACTGGGTTCTGCGTTGACGCTCTCAGGTTTCTAAGACCACCACTAACTCAGCTACTATTTCAGGTCCCTCAAGAAATATCCCTCTAGGGTGCGAGAAACTAGTACTTGACAGCCGCCCCCATACCTCTATCAGCACTCGATATCTTGTTGACGATCAAATCCTCTCACCTCTTAATAATTTTTCCGTCCCCACAACTAACCCTTCATGTATATATTGATCACGTGTCAATTCTGATAACAGTTCACCATAAGGTCTCACTCGACCAGTTGTGTTTGAGTAGAGAGCCTCTATAAGGTTAATTCACTTCTTTGGTACTCCTTTCAGTGACAAACACTGCCATAGAACCTCACGATCAAAAGAGTCAAATGCCGCCTTAAGGTCAAGAAATACTACTATTGTGGGGCGTCTAAATGGGAATGTGACCGCAGAGCCCAAGGGACAACTACTTGAGGCCGGTCGCGCACGGCCTTTTTGTGGACGGTTTTTGACGTGTTAGCTCCGTTCTTCAATAGGCTTTACCGCCGGAGACGGAAATCCGTGAGGTAAGGTGGGGTGTGACGTTTTTAGGGTCGACCTTTTCTAACCCCACCCCTCCTTGTGAGAAGGCAGTATCGCTGCAGATGCTGGTTGTCTGAGGGAAACACCTTACTGCTGTCACTTCTCCCTCATACAGAGTTGCCGCTTTTAGTCTTACCGTTCTCCAATCGACCTGCTTCTCATGTATAGTGCAAGTGAGAGCGGCTTATGCCGATTAGAGCCATCTTTGGCGCCGTGTGTTCGGACGCAGTGACAATAACCTAGTTGGTGTCATAGTTGTGAAACACCATATTCGTTGGGTGGGACGTGTCTTACCAATGTCGTCCCAATGTCGTCCCAATGAGGTCCACATCGTGCACTATTTACTGACGCTGGGACTGCTTGAAAATGGAGAGGTGATCAGCGCACTACATAGCATCGTGGTATGAAACAAAGCCATACAGGACTGTCTTCCGTCGGTCCTTCATAACTCCTTGATTTGGGGTTTTAGAGATGGTACAACACAGTGGCTAAAGACGTCATGAAACATGACTCAGAATAGAGGTCAGTGGCGGTTCTGCTGTAATGTTCTTTTACTTTCTTCACAAAAGTGATCACGATTTCTTTAACTGAAAGAATTCTTTCTGGTGGTATTTTTCCTAATTGAACTGTTTTTCGCATTATTATTATTATTATTATTATTATTATTATTATTATTATTATTATTATTATTATTATTATTATTATTACTTCACTCTTATACACTAACTTTTGTTCATTTTTGTTCTTTTTTATTATACTCACTTTACATTATTTATCTACAATATCTGTCGAACGCACTTTCTGAAGAAGATCAGTTAACTGGTGGTAGAATTTATCCTTGATTGCATCCGGTCTGCAATCTGTTGGGGCATAGGCGGAGATGACGAAAAGATATCGTTTCTCACGCCAATTTCTTCTCATTTTGATGGAATTCTCTAATCTAACAGCACATAGCCGACTGTTAATGGGGATCCAATCGATTAGTGCTGTCTCAGCTCTAGGGCTTAGTGCGACACCAACGCCAGCAAGACCAGGCGAAGATGCCACAGGGTCCCCGGATAAACACATTTAAAACAAGCTTTTCGAAACGACAGATGGAGAGCAAATTTGTAGTATTTCACCAGAGTCTTGAATACGGGTCTCGGATAGACAACAAACGTCGATATTAAGACTTTCCTATCTTTAAAACAATTAGTCCCTTTGATAAATTTCGATAATCTTCGTCTTCTAATATCATTATCGAAACTTTCCTATCTGTTGTCCGACCTGCATAAGTGTGCGAACGTTGAAGGCAGCCAATTTGAATGGTGCACGTAGTTTCAGAAGAACTGTTTCAGTATTCGTATTTGGTGGTAGCATATAATTTTCAACCAGGCAGTGACTCGAGAACGTTTAGATAGAACCGAGTTTCCATCATAGGCGAGCTGCTGTATAAGTCGAAAAATAAGGATACACAAAGTGGGAATAAAAGGGAGTGAATAAGTGACGTGGTAAATAATAATAATAATAATAATAATAATAATAATAATAATAATGGTGTGAATTGTTTGACTGTTAATCGAAGCGTGAATAGAATTTTCAGTAAATATCGTCATTTTCATTTTATTTGTGTGTGGGCTGTGATACTGCCCGGGTGGCCAGACCGAAGCAGGTGGTTTTCTTAGAGGGCCACACCCCAAGCCTTTGACCTAAAGGTCTGATCCACAAGGCAGTGGAGCATCATGAGGAGATGCAGTCCCATGGTAGCCGGTGACCAACGATTGGTTCATACGCCATTTGTTCCCTTAGGATACTGGAGACCATGTGCACCGTTGGTTTCGGTATTCGATCATAGGTGTCTTCGAAGCATTGCTAGTGTATCTCGGGACCACGAAGTAAGGAATGCCTGGGTTAGGAATAATGTACTAGGTAAGGATTGAAAACCGATTGATGAGAAAGTTAATCTTCAACTGAGGTGATTGAGACATGTGTTACGTATGTCCAACCACCTCCTATCTCGATGAACGGTGTCTTCTAGCGTAGGAGTAGGGTGGAAGAAAGTTAGGGACGTCCAAATCAAAACTTTTCATCGGTATATGAAGTCACTAACAATTGGAATTACCCATGCTAATAGGTGTAGGGTAATTGTTTGGGGTCCATGTGATTATCGTAACCAATGGTTAGAGACTTTGATTGACATGGCTCAAAATCGTGTGTAGCTGCCCAGATGCATCCATTCTTTGTATTTTCTCAAGTTCTAAATTCCTCATAATTTCGTGTTTATATTTCACTAATCTATATTTTTTCGAGTCGTATTTTCAATGTCTAATCGTTTTAATCACCACTGATAATTTTACTACCTTTACTATTCTGGAATTTGGTCTGACAATTTCATTTCTTTGTGCTAATTGGGTGTGGCAACTTGGACCGATGCATATATGTACCTGGTCCTACGTTGTAGCTGACTGATTGAAATATTTACGAACATTCGTATAAAACATCTGATTCTTAGTTCCTGTCCCAATATTTTGCATTTTTACACAGCCCATCATAGTGGGGATGACGTCACAGATTGGGCAGAGCTGCTTGGAGATACCTGGTCGGTGGTCTGTGACTCAAAAGAGGTAACAGGCTTAAGTAACCAAGCAACACAAAGCACTCAGTAACTGTTGTGAAAGTCAGGTCTAGTTGGCGTTAGAACTCCATAGTTCAGCTGACAGAGTAGTAAGTTAATCGCCTATAAGCCACCAGTTAGAATTCAGTCGTTTAAGTTTTTTAGTTTACGCTAACTCGTTCCCAGGTAATTAAGTATGAATCACACTATTCTTTAAGGCCACTGATACTATGTGGTCGCCCAAACCAAAGCGGACGGAAAGGGCACCGAACCTGGGACTTAGTTATTAGAAGTTTATTTCCTGTTCTTTTAATAACACTCACTCTCCTTACACCAGAAAAAAGTGGCGAGTTTCAGGACGAAATGAAAATGAAAAAATGCGAAAATGAAGTAAGGTGGCAAACAGTATCATATTTCTAGACTCATACTAAACCATTCTGTAGAATATTAGGGTGATGAGCAGCTATTTGGATTCAGTTGAGAAGCATTGTCTTTAAATTAAAGTAGTAGTGAACCGCAAGAGTATTTTATACACCTTCGGAGTTGGTCATTTCTGATATATGCCTGATAAATAAATCCAAATAAATAACATGGATTTCATAAGTCGGTCCTTGAGATGCAAAGTATTCACCTTAGTACACACTTTTGAAGGCTTTTGTATAACACTACAAATGCCGACTTGATATCAACCTTATGACCAGTCTCAACCAAATGTTTCGCAATTGAGGTAGATGTCTGTCTATCCTGTGACCTTATTTGACCATTGGAATTCATTTGTTTCTTCAGCCATTTGGGTATGTGTTTCGCCACCTTTATTTTCAGATCACGATTACTTCTCCCTATGTACGTATTACCGCACTATTAGACAGTGAATGCGACACAATCGCTTATGTGCTATTTGGGTTTTTGGTGAAACGTAGGCCTTGTCTTTTCAATAATAACAAGTTGGGTTGCATAAAATGTCCGGTTGATGGCTAATTTAAGTCTCCGTTTCAGCATGAAACTATATGAGTCGCTTCTAAATAGTAACATAATGTAAACTCGCTTTTTGGGTGCCGGATGCGTCATAGGTCTAATCATATTGCAACCCTTCCAGTGGTTTATAAGGTTCAATGGATAACCATTATTCATTAATATTTCAGTTAAGAGCTTCGTCTCTACTTCAATAGTATCGCTAGTACAAATGTGATTAATTCTGTCGAATAAGTCCTTTATTAATCCGCGTTTGTAATTAATTGGGCAGTGACTATGTAAATTAAGATATTGCCAGGTCCATGTTGGCTTTCAATATACAGAACGTTTTATAGAACTATCATCTCTGCTACTAATCAGTATGTCTAGAAAAAGAAGCTTGGTTATTCTTCTCTTCTTCGCATGTAAGTGAAATATGCTTTTGGCTTGAGGTTCTTGAGGTTGGCAAGCGGTTCACATTTTCACGTTTATCTCCTATGATTATGATGTCATCAACCTACCGTTTATACAGACAGATTCGAAAAGCTGGCTTGGCTTTTGCCAACTTACGTCACCTGTGGCGAAGGTGAGATATCCGTCTATCAATAAAAGGACGAGTACACTGTGCGGCAGTCCGTTCTGTTTTAATTTACGGCAGCGAAACATGGCCATTAAGAGTAGAAGACACTCGTAAGCTACTAGTATTTGACCACAGATGCCTTAGAACTATTGCTGGCGTCTTCTGGGATCACCGGGTAAGTAATAGTGAGTTTAGACGCAAGGTATTAAGGAATGATGGTAAATCAGTTGATGAGGTTGTGAATCTTCATCGACTGAGATGGTTGGGTCACGTGTTGCGTATGCCTGAACACCGATTATCACGACGTGCAATGCTATCCGGTTTTGGAAATGGTTGGAAGAAAGTTAGGGGCGGCCAAACCAAAACGTGGCATCAGTGCTTGAAGTCACTAACTTCTAGTCTGAGCCATGTTGGTAGATGCAGACTACTTGGTTGGGGTCCACGTGACTATCGTAACCAATGGTTGGAGACTCTTGGTGACATGGCTCAGAATCGATCACAATGGCGTCGGTGTATACACTCTTTGTCTTCCCTTAAACTAAGAGATTAAAATCGCTTCATACCTTTCTTTCCACGAACCAATTTTTTCTTCTTGTACTATACCTCTATATGCAATCTTTCTCTTATATATTACCACCTTTGACATAACCACTGCTATGAATCCGGTGTTCATCTTGTTGTGCTAATGAGGTATGGCAACTTGGACCGATGCATATATGTGCCTGATCCTACGTTGTAGCTGACTGACTGAGATTTCGTTAGACACCAATCCATTAGGACTGACCAGACTTCCTAAATAAGTGAAGTCGCAACCGGATTTGCGTAAACTGTGTCCAAACCACCTCTGGTCATTGGATGTGGAATATCTTTTATAGACAGCTGTTTATAAATACCTGTACTTTTTTGATGATGCTTGTGGTTGTTCTTTTCATTTCTGTACAGTGGAACTGTCTTAATGTTTATATGGAAGATTCTGACTTTGATGTTGCCTGATAATTGATCTGGGTTCTGTATGTTCTTCAGTTATAGGAATTCTACCCTTGCCTTTGCATCCTCATCGGATCCTCATTTTTCGTCGATGGTGCTTCCTAGATATGTGAAAGTTCCCAACTCTTCCAGATCTCCATCGAGTGTGATTGAGTTGGTGTTCTCTATGTTATATTTGAGGATCTTGGTTTTTCCTTGTGTGTGTTGAGGTCCGCTGATGCTACGCTGACTGTTTTGACCTGCATTTGTTGATGTGTATGGAACAGGAGAGCTAGGTCATCTGTGAAGTCTAAATCGTCTAGGTGCATCCAGGCTGTTTATTGTATCCCGTGCTTCCTCTGAGAAGCATAGGTCTTCATAGTCCAGACAACCACCAGAAGGAAGAGGAAGGTGGGGTGTAGACAGCCTTGTCTGACACCGGTCATTACTTGGAATGCATCTCTCAGCTGTCCTCTATGCACGACTTTGCAGTGTAGTCCATGGCATGAATTACGGATAATGTGAACGATTTTCTCAAGTACACCGTAGCGTCAAGGTTTCATAACGTTCTCCTATTCATACTGTCAAATACTTTTTCATAATATAGGAAATTGATGTATAGTGACGAGTTCCGTTTAACTGATTGTTCAAAGATGATCTGTAGTGTTGCGATTTGGTCTGTACATGATCTATTTTTACAGAATCCATCCTGTTGATTTCGAAGTTGGGCGTCTACTGCGTCTTTCTTCCGGTTCAGCAACACTGTTGAAGACTTTTCCTGGTACTGACAGTAGTGTGATGCCTCTGTAGTTTTCACATTTGCTCAGATCGCCTTTCTTAGGGATCTTGATGAGGTGTCATTCTTTCCAGCCGGTCGGCACTTGTTTCTCCTCCCAAATCTTCTTGAATATATGGTGAAGCATGTTTGTAGTTACTTCAATGTCTGACTTCGGTGTTTCAGCTGGTATATTGTCGAGTCCTGCTGCTTTCCCGCTCTTGATTTGTCTGATTGTCATCCTGATTTCTTCGGTCGTTGGTGCAGTGACATCTTTTGGGAGGTCTATGGTTGCTGCTTCAATGTCCGTTGGATTAACTGGAGCTGGTACATTCAAGAGTTCCTCAAAGCACTCTACCCATCTGCCTTTCTGTTCTTGAATTTCAGCGATTGGCCTGCCTTCTTTGTTTTTGACCGATCTCTCTGGTTTACTATATTTCCCTGCTAGTTTCTTCGTTCTATCATATAGCTGTCTCATATTTCCTTCTCTTGCAGCTCTTTCCGCCGTCGTTGCTAGTTTTTCCACGTATTTCTGATTGTCAGCTTTAATGCTCTTCTCCACTTGTTTGTTTGCTTCTGTGTATTCAGCTCGTGGCTTGGTTTTCTGTGTTGTAATTTGGCTGTTACTAATTGCTGTCTTCTTGTTCTTCCTTGCTTGAATCTTGTCCAGTGTCTCCACAGAGATCCATTCCTTATGATAATGCTTGTTGCGGCCCAGAATCTCCTGACATGTTGAAGTTAATGCTTTTATGATACCTTTCCAGTTGTCCTCCATAGTAGTTTCCTCTTCCTTCAGTAGATCTTGTAAGGCTTGGAACCTGTTGTTGAGAATTATTTTGAATTCATTGAGTTTGTTAGTATCCCGTAGAAGGCTTTATTGAACCTTTGTAATGCTGTTCCCCCAATTGTCCAGTGTTTCTTTAGCTTCACTTTCATCATGGCCACAATCCGGTGATGATCTGAAGCTATGTCAGATCCTCTCCTGGTTTTCACGTTTTTCATTGTGAATTTTGTACTGATGCAAATATGATCTATCTGGTTCTCTGTGGTGTGGTCCAGTGAGATCCATGTAGCTTTGTGTATTCGTTTGTGTGAGAATATTGTGCCGCCTATGACCACTTTGTTGAATGCACATAGATTTGCAAATCTGTCACCATTCTCGTTTCTCTCTCTCAGTCCATGTCGTCCCATGTTATCTTCATATTCGGTGTTGTCTATTTCGACTTTGGCGTTTAGATCTATCAGAATGGTGAGGTCCTTTATTGGGCACTTCGTCATGATTGATTGCAGCCTCCCATAGAATTGATTTTTATTGTCGTCGTTGCTATCATTGGTGTGTGCATATCATTGGATAACATTCATTGGGCTTTCCTCCTTCTTTGTTTTGAATGATGCTTTGATGATTCTGGATCCATGAGATTCCCATCCTACAGGTGCATTTCGTGCTTCTTTTGACAGCAACACCTCTCACGTACCTAACTTTTGCTCCAGGCGGAGTTATAATAAAAATAATACTGATGTACATCTAATATAGTTACTTAATAGTTATCTAATCGGAATATGTGTAATAATAATTCATAAGTAATTCCTGTCAGCTACCATTCATTTATTCTTCGATAGGGTGTAGTCGGAGTGGCGAGACTATAATTTGTGGATGAACCAATCAGATTTACGCTAACAGGTCTTGAATTTTGGCGCGAAATCAATTCACACATTTGGCTAAATAGAGTTTTGTCATTATAGCTGATATCAGTTCGTGATGAAAACCCTATATCTGATTCCTAACCCTAACTATCAACTGTAAATATTAATCTTAATTCCTCACTCTGTTTTATAACCGTCATTTATCTGTAGTATATAGGCTGACATTGCCAAGATCTCTTTAGTGTCGTTCGAAGGTCGTCCATAAATTATAGTCTCATTGGCGGAGTTTTCGAATCTCTATAGTCCTAATTATGTATTTGTGATAGGTGATTCTGAATCTCGTTTGGACACTGAAAAAAATATGGTAAACGACTGAATTATTTAGTCCAGCTTATTACGTAGCTATTATAGGTCAATTTTAATAAAGTAGATTTGTGTATTAACTCTATTCGACCCTTTCCAACTAAATGCTTACCAATATACTAGATAAATTACCCGACAGGAAATGTCGTTGAAACCTCTCCACAAGAGTGATTGAATTTGTAAATACACATTGAGGTGGCGAAATCAGGTCATTTATCATGTGAACAACTTTTGTTGATCGACTAAAAATTCTTGGATAACAGATCTTTTATACAACTTAAGTAATTTAATTTTCAGAGGCTATACCTTCATTAATTGTTTTTGTGATATTAGGAATAACATGCGATTTCATTCTTAAACAGTAAATCAATTTGAATTCCCAACTCATTTAAACGGCTATAGCCTTTTTTATGTTTACAAATCGTATAAAACTTATACGTGTCGCTGGGGTTCTAAACACTGAAGTTCGGTACTTAGAAAATCCCAAACTTCTACTTGTATTGCTTGTCGATTAACAGGTAATATGTGATCAGTATTTACCGAATTCATACAACAGAATATTATGAAATATCGTTAAAAATTAAGTCATTCAGGTAAATCGCAAGTTATTTTACAGTCTATTTTACTTATTGCGTTTATACAACGTATGAGATGTTCAAATCCATGTTGTCATTATTGTATTATCTCTTCTTAAAACCTAAAATAATATTTCAATGAAATTTCAATCTTCATTCTGTTTTTAGAGTTCTCTGTCAAAAGTAACACAAATAACACTCTCCATAAATTCGTAATGCAACGAACTGTTTTCAATTGATCTGTGGAATAATACTGGTTTATTTTGTGGAGTTAACAATTATGTTATCGCATAATTCGAATCACGAAAAAACACCTGTATGTGAAAATTTTCCTAGCAATACAACCGATGGCTTCATCAAACCTTCTTTACCTTCGTTTATTTCAAACATTTTAGACCTGTTAACCGATGAAGAACTTAAACGTCGTTTAGAATCTGTCTTGTTAGACAGAGAATCGGAACTATTAGAATCTCAGTCAGCCTGTAAAGATGCACAGAATGAGGCCGTAGAGTCACGGAAACAGTTAGTCAAACTTGAACTTGAATTGGCAAATATTAAAAGCGCTGCAGAAATGTTAATGACTGAACATGAGGATGCCTTATTAACCTTGAAAAGACAGTATGATGAAGAGTTGTCCTCGCTGCTGATAGCTTCTGAACAGGTGAATTTTTGGTTAGAGAATTGTGCGTGACTCTGCGCTAATTTGTCAGTGTGGAATCATCTGTTAACATTGTTTACTTATATACATCCTGTAGTAGACTTCTTGTGATATGCATTAATTTTATTTCATCCAATCAACACGAGTAGTGTGATTTGATTAAAAAACCCATTTCTAAAATCATACATAGAGTTCGCTTTTTAATCTTGAAGAGAGCAAGAATAAAGATTTAAGCCGAATAACATGAATTCATTTTATTTAGTGGGCTACTTACAAACTATAATATTTAAAATCAACATTAACATAGTTTACACATTGATAATAATGAACCTGCATGGTGAAGTTACGGTTAGAATAAAGGTAATAAAATTAGGAAAATATGCAGTGCTGCAAATAAATACAGTAATTTAGAGAAGATTCTAGAACACAGAAATAATTACACAATCAAGCAATTTATACCTTTATTTGAATCCTCATTCCATCATAATGATACATATTCACACCTAACCGATTTCACTGTACAAAGTATGTCAACTTTCACGATAATTCTAAGATATCATAGGTTGTAAGCAGCTGACTAAACAAAATAAATTCATATTGTTTTGCCCAAATCTTTATTCTTGCTCTCTTCATTGTATAATACATCGGTCTGTTAAATGGTTTTGAACTGTTAGTTTTTGAACAACCGAAGCATCTGAAGCAAATGTATTGACGAAGTGCAAGAAGAGTAATTGTTTTCAGGCAAAAGTTATGGGAAACTATGTGTTCGATCACTTATCAAAATGGTTGTTATATACACTCTCAGAAACAGCCTATGAAATATATGCAATATTTATAAATATCTGGATACAATTTCGCTACTTTCTAGTTCATCGTACTGTGCAGATCGTGCAAAAACATAAACTTACTATCGAGGCGCAGGTCAGGCATTGGATAATCTTTTATCCCTCTTCAATCAAATGCTTGAACATTCGTACATATTTTAGGCCAATAATAATTGTACTTTATGATATCAATGTGGCACCTAATTCCTTGCATGGGATTTTACTCTGAAATTATCTGTTGAATAGTGTTTTATTTGAGTTTATTTAAATGTTCATCGCTCGTTTCACAAGAGTGAGAGTATACAACCACCTTTCCCCATTGTTCAAGTACAACACTGAAATTACATAGGGTTACTTAGTTTTAGACTCCGTCTTGAATTTTCCCGTCGACAGGATTCTGGAGACAGCTTTGGGCGAATTATGTGGTAGTAGTGGTGTAAAGAAAAACTTGTTTGGTTATAAAGTTTCAGACGGACAGTTCTACTACACGGTAATTCCAACTATATGATGGTCAGATGAATTCTATCCTTGATGAACCTATCCAGTTATCGTTGTCCCTGAAAGTTTACTTTCACTGTGTCAGTCATCGTGAGACCTAGCAACATGTGTTTAGTCACATTAAAGGGAATCATCCTAATGTTTTTATGACCCTAGAACTCTGTCCTCGGTAGCTTTATCACATCTCACGTACGTCCACCCAGTGACTCCCAAACTAAGGATTATTTCCAATTGCTAAAAATTGTTGGAAAAATTACACTTTAGAATATAGAGCGATATAATTAAAGGATACTTATGTTAAATTGTCATCTGTTAACATACGATGACTTCGGATACCTTCATAGACTAATGTCATGCCTTAACTCATCCATGCTTAGTCCTTTTACAAACTATTCTTGACCCATCAAGTGTATAGTGATAATGGTAATGTATGTAGGCGTTATTTTTAATGCAGCCACCCCAATGTTTCAACCATATTTAATCAATTTTACAGAGCCGTCAGTAACCGAATACCTACTAGTTAAGCATGCCTTTAAACTTTATTGGCTGTCTCAGCTATTCTGAGGACTGTCACCCAGTGTAGTGGTCCTTTTATAATCGGTCAAATATCTCTCAGACACTATAGTTGGAGTTTTTTAACGCAACTCATAATAGTTTAACTATCACCTGAAGTAATATTGGTGTGTTCATAACGGAAACTAGTTAGGTCATTTTATGGATCAAGTTCTTAAAACTTCAATATACACTGGTCAAAAGTGATTTCTTTTCAAAATCAATTAATTGTGTTTTAATAAATTGTACTATCGATACTAATAAATTGAGTGAATTGAATCAAAATAAACTGAAAACTGGTATTCAAACTACACAGATTTTTAAATGCATTACAATCTGAATTATTTGTCATTTAATTAAATGTTGTAACTCAATGATTAAGCTATACTTCAAGGCTTTTGTTTATTGTATCATAAACTAGAATGATACTTTTTGATTAAAATTTGACACTGGATGAGATAATTCAATTTCCAGAAATACTATATTTCTCTAGTATCTTCTAAAGTATGGCTTATCAGATGTTGCAAGACACAATAAGCATGTGATTTGTTTTACTCTTCTTTCATAGTACTTTCATTGATTATTAATAATTTATTGGTTCTATTTTATGTGCATGTACACTGACATTATTGTAAACCTTGACCAGTAAGCATGATAAATATTTTCTGTGATTTTTATATTACAAATGTTTTTTTTTATTAGTTAGTGTGTATTAGGATTCTATTGGATATTACCCCATCCAGATTTAACTTGAACGATTCTCTGTAGTTATAGATATATGAATGGGAATGATTCATTTTTTTAGCCTGTAAGGGCTGGTACTATGTAAAGCACATATAGGTTATTCTAGTCTCTGGACATATCAATCTATTCAATCTTCTCAAACCATATTTTTACCCTGTCACTTATTCTCTTATTAACCCTTACTGTTTTTTTATATGAACGTATGTGTATGCATTTCTTATCTTACTCATCACACATCTGTAACTTATTTTGTCTGACTATAAATATCGAGTCACACATGATTAAGACGAGCTCGCTTACATGCCTTCTTCACCGTGCGTCGTATCGCTTTTCTCTTTACTTCTTTCGCTCCGTCTCTCTGTCTGTTCTGATCAACCATTGTACAAAATATACGTATTCAAAACTTCATTCTCGTATTTGGCTTATTTAATTCCGTTATTCCTTAACGTAATTTAAGTCGATAGTTATATACGAGGATTGGCGACATGTATATTTCGGTAACAAGCGGCAAACGATCTACCTGGAGTCAAATATAGGTCCATTAAAAGCCATTATTAGTAACTCTGGAAATTCTAGTGTCCCATTTGCTCAATTTTGTCTTGCTAACATAAATATGAATAGTTAAGTGAAGTACTTTAAGCATTTACACCCACAATGTTTTGTCTCAGTAGATGTTAGATGAACCTAAACTCGATAGTTTAGCCCAACCATATAATTTTTAACTCATCACAAATCTAATTTTCTTCACTATTTTTCATTTATCATAGGGTTATTTACATCAGTTTATAGATGGTCAGTGTTCAAACGATACATCACATTCATCACCAACTGAAAATGAGAATTGTCCAACCTCCAAATCATCACTTCTTATCACTGAAAAAAAGTCAGCTCAAAGTTTAGCTAATCAGGCATTGGATAAAGTAGAGAAATTAGTTCGGCGTGTTGGTCATAAAGCACTAACAAATAATTTTATTTTAAACAAATCCACTGTTTCATCTTTTTGGGCAAATCATGACATTGCTTCAAACAAAGAGGAGGATAATGATGATGACTATCTACGAGCAATAATTGAACCTTACGAAACAGAAATTACACGTCTACAACAAATTTTGATCAATGCTTCGATTCCATTCACTAAGACAACATTACATCCTAGTATGTGTTTAGTAATTCATTCATTATGTTTATTGTCCTAAATTTTTATGATTATATAAGTAATTGACTCTTGTAGGTTTTTTGACAAGTAGATTCAATTTAAAACAGGTATACAGTGTTACTGATAGTTATGACTGAACGATGAACTTGTTTTTAGCCTTTTTTTACTGAAAGATTATTTGAAAAGGTAAGGAGTTAATTATTGACCACCATAATAGTACAACCTCAATTATTATAGGAAGACGCATTGTATAAAGACTATTGACACTAAACTCAATTAATTCTAAACTTACCTAGTCGTTTTATTATCTCTATTGTAAAAGCGTTAACATGAATTTTCATAATAATAATAATAATAATAATAATAATAATAATAATAATAATAATAATAATAAACTGACATATTATAACAGACAAGTTGCCCCAATGTCATCAACTTGTGATATGAGACACTGAGGATGCCCGTTCGCATGCTAAGCGAGCGAGAGCCATAACAAAGCAATTTAGATACGTATGGAAGATGGCTGGGAAGCCAACTCCAATTCAAGCCGAACATTACTCAATATTTATAGGCAGACAAAATGAACTACAGACATGTGATGAGTCATCGGACTGAAGTGTACATACATATACGCTCACATGAATACAGTCAAGGCTAACAAGCGAATAATTAACAAGGTCAAAACATGACTCAAGTAGAATGAGTAGAATGGAATGTCCGGAAACTAGAATAAGACATACTATGGGCTAAAACGAATGACTAACACTACATAGCCCCCTCGTAGAAAATAGCACATTTAAAAAATGTCTGTTTTCGGAAATAACACTGAAGTGATGCGTAGTTAATGTTAACAATAAGTAGCCAAAAAAATTGTACAACAATCGATAAAGTACAGTGTCACATGAGGGGTGAGTGTATTATATGAAAATGTCATGCTTATGCAAAAGAATACATGAATATCGCAAAGGCTCGGACAAAAATGGAAATGTTAGCATGTGAATATGAGCAAATTAATGAGCGTACAAAAAATTAACATCTAATAATTCTAAGACTGTCTGAACGATAAAATAACACGTTTGTATGAGCGATTCAAAATATCGTGAAAATAGTAATAAATTGTCTGTGGGTATGACAGCGAAATAAATCGTCAAAATGAGTACAGTAGAATATGACAGAAATCGGTCTGTGATGCTGACAGAATAGTGAAATATGTTAAATACATGTTCTGTTGAGCCGCAGCAGAATAAATCGCATTGACTAGTGATGAGTGAATTCGAATTTAAATGCGTAGGATGATAATAGTTAAGTCGTGAAATGATAACTGCATCGACGGATGATATTCGTTGCTGTACTGCAGTTGATAATAATCATAAAATCTGAAGTCAGTGAACGTTGTCGTCTGCGTTATGACAGATGCATTGAGTCGTCGTTAAATATGTATTAGTAGAATGACCAGATGAATAGAATAGTGACTGAGTAGACGAGGTACATAGAGTCTATTCCTTTTTGGTCATGAAGCCTAGAGTGGTTTGTGTGGTTTGAGGGAGATGCGCTCGATCTCGTTTGTTAAAAAACCGTACCAAGGCATGACAAAAATACCAATACATATGATTAGCGATTGCGACGTATGAGACTGACCTGGATGTAACGAACAAGAGTGTATCTTTGAGAGACTAGCTCTAAACTCTATGTTCTGATATACTATGCGATGGGTATAGAATAGTAGTTGCAGTACTCGAATAGCGTTTTTGAGTGATAAGTGATGCAGCATGTAGTTATGCACGTGGAAGAATAGATAAAATGAACGTAATGGTTACTAGTCATCTAGTCAAAAGCATCCACAGACATAATAGGAGGCGACTTCGAAATGAAAAATGTATGTTGTGATAACATAAATTGCTGACCTCGACTAAGTGAATGAATGCAATATTAGTTCAAAATGACATGAAAAATTGGAACGAACTCACTTAAAGCAGGAAAATTTCACGTTTTCGAATAGTAAAAATATCCCAATGAGTTCTCACAAAGTTAAGTGGAATTTTCATAAAATGATAATTTGTTCGGTGAGTAATATGATTGCGAAAATGTCATGATTTAATGACAGCACGAACAAGATTAATAATTCCACATTCGATCATGATATTAGCAATAATGTAATAATAAGCATACAATGATAATTTGAATCGTAATGGAACAATCCGACAAGTGTATCAATGAAGATAATTGACATGAGGACAAAGTAACAATAAGATAATAAGATTTGTGCATGTCCATGTCGTGTTGCACAGGCTTTGCTGAGTGCGTCGGATTAGAGATTGAGCTGGACCCGTTGAGTGCGTTCGTCGAATGTATCAAGTGCAGAAATCTCTTCATCGACGTAGCTTGCTGCGTTGCGTTCGTCGTCGGTGGGCTTACCACTTTTGTGGCCCGTGGTTCTCGAATCCATTTCAGATTGTATGGAAGATGGCTGGAAAGCCAACTCCAATTCAAGCCGAACATTACTCAATATTTATAGGCAGACAAAATGAACTACAGACATGTGATGAGTCATCGGACATGAAGTGTACATACATATACGCTCACATGAATACAGTCAAGGCTAACAAGCGAATAATTAACAAGGTCAAAACATGACTCAAGTAGAATGAGTAGAATGGAATGTCCGGAAACTAGAATAAGACATACTATGGGCTAAAAGGAATGACTAACACTACAACACTTAGTGAAAAATTAATTCGTTAATAACTACATCTGACTACAGTAGCTAACATTTAATACTAAACACTCTGTTTCGACAGAGCGTCCTTTGTTTGGACAATAGAAAAGATGGTAACTTTTAACTACATGATGTTTTAGATCAGGGGGGGGAAATGAATTCAGAAATGAAGTATATAAATTATGTCATTCATTCAAACTTGACTGTATTTATGTTGAAAATCTTTATTGTGTATTATTAGTTGTTAAGTTTTGCATTTTTCCATTGTTAATATTCTAGTTTAAATTTATCTGTTTGTGTTACCACAGGCGCTTGTTTTTAGGTGAATGCTTCCATTTCTCTTGCATTGACAACATCATTCTCGCTTGTTTCCTTTACCTCTCTGCATTAATGATTTCTTACATTTTAAGACTGAATATTCGCTTACTGATATGGTAAATTAATTATTTTGATAATGCTCTGTTTATTGTGCTGTAGTTAAATGATTTTGTGTTTCTTTATCCTATTAGATACGTATTCGAAACTGTATAGTAATCTGTTATATTTTATTATTGCAGTCAATTAGCGTATTAACAAACTGTCAAAGAAACATACAATTGGCTATCCTTTTCTCAGTAGAGTGTTGATTGAATGTAAAAGTTCATCGTTGAAATTCTCAAAGTTCTGATAATCCAACCAGTTTGATTCTGCACTATATTAGTCAATAAAATAATTCAACTCATTTGGTAAGTGCAGATCTATGTACTCACCATCGAGTCACTAAGTTTCTCCAAAATTTAGTAATATTACTCAATTTACCAAACTAAAATAAACGGAGCAGCTGTGTTCGAATCTGCGTCTTAATGGTTGGATGGTTAGTACTTTGATCCACTTTAATCCACCACTTCATTCAGTCATACGTTTAAGTTTATTCTCTGGGTTTGAAATGTAATTTTATTTTTTAACCTGTAATTTAATTCGTAAAATTTTCTTATACCATTCTTGGGAATTTTAAAACTTACATAACAAACTTATCTTAATTAGCCAAACAATGAAGGCGGAAAAGGAGGCACTGAACAGCTGTTTTTTCTATTATGAGACTCCTCAACAGTGCACATGTACCATCTCTTAGGGATTGAACCTAGGACTTTCAGGCTTCCCAGCGAGTTTTTAACTTTAAGATCACTGAGTTGCGAGCCAATCATTTACATTTCTACCGTTAATCAATTCGTATTATTGCGCAACTGTCTTACACTCTAATTCATGAGTAGCTGCTTCATTTCTGATACGATTGCACCCCACTAGTCAAGACTTCTGACTAGAATCCTAAAAATTACCTTTTGGAGTTAGTCGCTAGGGTGAATATAATTATTGTTAGTATAGGAATTCATAATACGCTGCTAATATTCTTAGTATAGCCAATAAAATTCTCACCAATATTCTTAATTTTAGAAAAACTGCACGTAAACATTTGTTTTTAAAAACGAATCATGTATATCGTACGTAACGTATGGAATGCATTTTTATAAACAAGTTATAATATTCTAGTGGGAGTTTGCAGTGTTTTTTTCTTTTATGTGTTGTTATATTTCAATATTATTCACTTAACGTTTGTTAATTTTTCATTATACGTGAGTTTAGTATATATTATTATTTGTACAGAATAATAATAAATATATTCGGCATCAGTTGCGTGCGATGTATTAGAAGAAACTTTAAAGTAATTTTATTTCCTTATTATTATTATTATTATTATTATTATTTAAACATAAATATTGGTACAAAGAGGCACCAAATACACATGCGCCACACTTCGTCATCCCATTTGTGTGAAGGCCAGAACAACGTGGTTTCCTCAGGGAGCCACATCCGGAGCATTTAACCTAGAGATCTAATCCATAAGGCAGTGAAGCAACGTTAGGAGATGCAGTCGTATGGTAGCCTGTGGCCAACAATAGGTTCATATGCCATTTGGTCCCTTAGGATTCTGGAGCCCATATTTGCCATTAGTTTGGAATCAGGGTTTTCCAACTGCCCTAGGTGGGTCCTCTACATCCACCAACCCGATTAAGGCGCCGGATATTCGCTTTTCCTCCTCTCAATCTCGTAAACAACACCCCTGCTGCGAAAAGGCAGTGAGTAGGAATTCCCTGGCAGTGGCTATATATGCGTGGCCATGTGAGAGCACTAAGAATAGTAGAGCTAACTCTTTCCACCATCGACCGAACCAGGCCATTTGGGGTCTTTTTTATTTTCTATTCAATTGGTAAATTTGTGTAGTTGTCTATCAATCTATGTACAATATATTTGACAAATGGTGCTATCAAATTATTTTTTATTTAAGTTACTTTGCTAGAAAATGTATTGGTATATCAAGTTAGTTTTAAAGCTTAATTACTCTATTTGGAACGTTTGGTCAAACCAAACTATAATTGGCTAGTAAGTGTGGCAGACAGATATACTCTTTTGTACTACAGAAATATATTGTAAACTATTCTATATTAATTATTTTTCCATCGGTTCCTACTCTATATTTTGTCCATATACGTTTTTATTATTGATATCTGGTTCTTGAATAAACAATTAAGAGTTTCTGAGTTCATGTGGATTTATTAAACGCCGCGTTATAACACCATGACATCATGACTTATTTCTCAGTATATGATAAATACAATTATATTTTCAGAATGGGGATTTCTGGAGATCTTAGTACATTTAGCAGTTGAATTCACGAGTCGATCTAAGCTAAACCACCATTGAAAACCTGGAAACACTGAAATGCCGCTTCATATAAGTATAGGACTCCTAAGCAATGCGCACCCTCGACTCCGCACGCTGGACTCGAACCCAAGATGTTCGGTTTTGCACGCGAACGCTTAACCTCTAGACCACTGAGCCGGCATCCGATGGTGTTAATATTTAACTACAATCGATCAGTGGTCTTACGCAACTCTTCAGTCATTCTCTAAGGTGGATAACTGTCTCGCCCGACAAGTGCTTCGAGGTTTTCGATGGTGCAAATTCAACTGTGAAAATGTTATAAAATTCGCTAAGCAAAACATTTTAAACTGGAATATTACAGTATTGTAGAAATTAAAGTAATTCAACATTCATTGTGTATTAAATTTATGCTATCATGCTACTAGTCTGTAATTTTTATTCATCCTCAATTTAGTAGTATATCGATTAAAACAAAATAATATTGTAACTTATTTGACTAAAGTACTTGTTTCCCAAGTGTAGATTTGTCTAATTGTCTTTGAGTTACACTATAAATATTATGGTAGGAGCAGTCTTGTTATTCGATTGTCTAGATAAGGTGTAGCTAGATTTGAATCTGAAATATTAGTCGTTGGTAATGGAGAGCGCTTCAGATACCAAAGCCATAGGATTCTCGATCGATAAATAATACTCTTATATATTCCTTTTGTTGTCTGAGTTTCATAAAAAACTTGCAATTTTTTTGGTTTCGTAGCTATAAACTGTTATGTTAATATTTTATATCAAATAAAGTTACTTATTAGTTAGCGAACAGTACTGTCATCAGGCTTTCCATCTTATTCACTTTAATATTTGACTACGATCTGCCTTTGTTTTGATTTACTAGTTTGCTGTTTTTTGATAATTTTTTTCTCAATTTCAAGACAAAAATTACATTGTTCACTTATTCTGACATAGATTTATTCATCATCAACCTGTTAAATGTTTTTTTGTTTTATAAAACGATCGTGAAATATCTAGTCAGTCATCATCAATATAAGACCTGGTGTATAGACGTCCGTCAGCCCGTATTATCACATCGCATCAACAAAGCAAGGTAAATAAATACCAAAGGAATTGAAATAATCAATAATGCTACAATGAATTTAAATATGAAGGAGTTCAAGAAAAAAAATAGGAATGAATTTTCGGGAGGAAGTTATGTAATTATATTGAAATTCAGAGTCTTGGGATCCATCTGTTTGCCACTACAACAGATTGTGTGAGTCACGTTACCTGGGAATGTAACCAAATGTAGTTTGATTCGACGAAACCCTTTTTTGTCAAATCTCTTTAGGTCACTTCAATCTTTCTTGTTTACATCCTCCTTTCTTCTCTTTGTTTATTAGTTCGTTTTTTCCAAAGTAAATAAAAGCAAACTATTCAGGTGTAATCATGCATAAATCTGTATGTCATGATGACTTGATCAATTCTAGTCAAAATTAATATTTTTAGTTGATTAATTAATCGATTATTTGCTGACGTCAGTTGGTTATCTGTTATATTAACTGGAGTAGTGGACAATTAATTAAAAATAAATATAAATAACGTAAAAACAATTGTTTTTCTCTTCATCATTACAAAAATCTTATGGCATGATTGTTGCTGGTGGTGGTGGTGTGATATCTTCATATTCTGCTTTTTTGTGTTTATTAGTGTTTGCATGTCTGATTGTTCTTCTGTCCTGTTCGTTTGTTATTTTAATATTCAATTCTTAAATTATTGGCGTTTTCGAGGTGAATTAAATTGTACTAATTTTGCTGTATCAGTTATATTTCTTTTTTGTTAACGAAGGTACATATGGTCTTGACATCAATCAATATTTTTTTAATTGATCATATTTGAATGAATTTTAACGTTACTGTGTGCATTTTATATTCCTTTATTTTTAGCAGGAAGATTGTAGACAAGGTTATAACTCATTTTGATAGAGAATAATCTAGTTTTTTTATTTGAAGGTATCTGTTATTTAGCCACTACCAAATGTTGGATATCATTATTAGTTCAATGAGTAAATGATATTATGTCGTAAGACTAAGAAAAATAAGAAGCTTAAGTTCAGTCTCACATAGGTAAGGTCACTAGTTCAAACTCGTGATTTGTATATATCTACCATAAAACAATGCTTGCTGTGTGATTTTCAAAGATTCACCAATATTATGTCAGTTTATAATGTAAATACCCTTCACATTATACACCATTTATTCGTATAATGAAAACGGTAATTTTTTTAGATTCAGCAACAAGTTATAAGTTATCAGAGGAGAAAATTGTCAATAAAATTTCTCATAATTCAAATATGAAGATAGAAATTTCTGGAAACAATATTGACAATAACAATAATAATAATATGGTTGATCCTGCTAGTAATCCGAGTAATTCAATTCAGAGATCATGTGACCAAATGACAGAAAAGCATTGTATGCACAAATCACCTGATAATTGTAATGATCATATCAATTCGGATGATGACAGAAATACTCAATCGACTGTTGTCACACAACCAATGTGTGATCATTCTACATCTTTTGAAGGGCAAATCTACCTAACCGATACAATGGTTTGTTTATTTATTTACTTTTCCTTGTTTATTATTATCCATATTTGTATCATTATATATGTTATCCTAAGTGTTTTCACTCTTGGTCCAAGGGTTGGAACCTAACAATCCACATTTCTATCTCTCATCAGTTCAGAACATTGTGCACTGATCAACTAATGGCATCTGTATGAATAGACTACTTTATTCTTGATACTGTTAAATCCTAATACCTTATTAAAATTCATCACTAATGAGCATATAGTTTTTATCACCATGTGATGTCATTATGGATATAGTTGTGAATAGACATTTAAAATCTTGCAAGTAACGGCCAGGCGCAGGTTTGCCAGGTACATTCATATTTTTCCCTTTATATAACTTTTGACAAACAACCTAGGTATATTTAAATTTATGCACTCAGAAATGCAAAAGCTCCACAATACCGTGTCTTGCACGTATATTATGTAACGAACAGATCGTGACGGCTGACCTAGTAGAAAGTGTATGGTTTTAAACATTCGGCGTATTCATCGTTGCAAAGATTATTATTTTCTGATACATCCACTTAATTTTATATGATTTCATATATATATATATATATGCGACGAATATGACGGGTGATTGCTTGTAATATTGGATCATGAGAACTTCATATTGTACTAAAAATATAGTATTGAATATAGCCGATATTATTATTAATACCTATATCCCTAATGTAAAGATAAAAGTTGTATTATTTGGGATTTGTTAAAGCATGATTCTTAATCCTGTCGAATCAGACTGAGAGAAAGCATGATCGAAGCAAATATAACGATATCTGTATTATTCTGTCTGTTTTTAAAACAACAATTTATAATTTGTGTGAGCGATTTTAAGGTCGAAACCTGAACGCCTTGACCACTGGACCACTACCACCACCCTGTATGCACATAGCATGTGGTCTTTGTTGAATACTCAAAGCAGTTTCAAAAATGTCGTTCAGTGTATATTTTTCCCGCGAAATCATATAAAAATGACCAAGGGTTTTTGAAGTAAATTTAAGCTCTTACCGTTCAGTATTCCCTAAAAATACAACAATTTTGGTTATGTATAATATCAGATTTTGTTTATTGTCTTTTTATCAATAAACACTGTGTTTAGAAAAATTTACAAAAACAGCTTTCCACCGTTAAAAATGAATTAGATTTGAAAAGCCACGCTTTGAAAGTTGCTACAGATCGTCAATTAGAATTGGAAAATGCCCTTAAAACTCAAGTTGCTGAACAAACATCTAAAATAGAAAAAATTAGTACAATTTCTAATCAGTTGGGTCAACGATTAGATAGTTTGCTGTTAAACTACCAAGTTAGTTTTCTATTTATTTGTTTTATTTAAAGGACTAATATTTGAACGAAAAATATTCTTTCCGATAAATTCTCTTCAGGTTCTACAGTTATATATCCAAATTAATAATTCGAAAAATGGCCAATTTAAGGGTAAAGAATATTCTTCGTTCAAATATTACTCTTTTAATATGATGGGGATCTTTAAGCGATTAAATGATTTCATTTAGTTATTTGACAAGAATTCTTTTCCAATAACACTTATTTGCATAGTTATTGGTAAATTTTTAGTTTATTCTATTTTGCAGCAGAATCATCTAACATTTCTTACTGTTGTGGTTAATGTACAACTCATTATCTAACAGGTTGCTTTATCATAATTTAAATAGTCGAGAATTTCTTTATCCAGTCTCGTATATAGATAGGAGTATGAATCACTAGGAATAAGACAATTGTGTTGTTATCCATGATTCATAATCATTTGTTGGTGTTGGAGCGCAAAAATTTATTTACTTTCTTTTTATGAAGCAGTTTTTAACGTGATAAACATCAACCTAATGACCCCTAGAGTTTCTGTATGTGTAATGGTTGTGGGGTCTATCCCTCATTGTAATAAGTTTTCTGCAAGACCCAGTTGACTTCGTTTAAAGGGATAGAAAGTGCAATAACCATTATTTTCTACAGTTGTATATGAATGTATACTCGTAGCATAGTTAATTCCGTCTTTGTATATTTGACTTGTTGCTAGTAGTGGGATGTAGTATTCGAGTTTCGTCCTACTTGGGACTTATCAGATGGATGTACCTGGGTCCTAGTGTTGATTTTGACGCTGAGACTCGAAACCAGTATTTTTCGCTTTAAACCCTAACTTTTTATCCAACAACCTACTGATTCTATGTAAAGATTAATATCTAAAGATTTGTAATTACTCTATGTTGATTTTCAGAACTGTAATCTCCTTACTCATATATGCTCGGGTGGATCACTTCCATATAGCCCTTTGTCATAAGTCTTGATATATTTGCGTCGAGATGATACACTCCAAATATGCATATAATAATAGAAACCAATCAACTGCAGTCATAAATGTTAACAACAAAAGGGAATTAAAAACTCTTCTTTATAGTTACTCCTGTTTATTTATTGTATTTCCTTTCCTTTCTTTTTTTCTTGATTATTACTCATTGTACATATTTGATTATTTTGATTACTTTTTTGAAGTCTTATCGTGAAACAACTGAAAAAGAAATATCCACTTTATTAGTTGAGCGTAAAACTGCTAGTACAAATCTAGAAATTCTTCGTTCACATTATGATGCTCTGGTTGGTAGACGTTCACAAGCTGCTATTGAATTAAGTAGACAACCAATTCAATTACCAAATGAGAAAGATGAATTAGAACATTTGACGTTAAAATTATATGAAGAAAACTTATCATTTCGGTAAGTGTGACTTTTTTCTGTTAATCTTTTTGGTGAATTTTTTCCTCGACTACAAAATTTATTTTCATAGTCCTATGTCAAGTGTTTGTTTACGTTCTTTGTCCTTATCTTTCTCCTACCAGCTCGTTTTTTGTGTTCGTTGTCTTATACTACTTATTAACATTCAGTAAATAGTTGTATTCTTAGCAATTTCTACGCATACGTGGTAACAGGTTTGTTATGTTCTAAAATATTTACGTACACATACAGTATTTATCATCAGAATTAGTTTCCCTCAACCCTTGTAACAGTTGTTCTCAGTTTTGTATAGTCTTCGGATTTTTGTCGAAATGCGACGGTTTCTATATTTGTTTGCTCGTGGTTCCCCTTTTGCTCGTTGACAAATTGTTATCTAGATCAGACACAGCTATCAGTTTACGTTATGGTTACGAGTTATGGCTTTTTACCTTATGAAAAATTATTTACGTAGTCAGTTCTTTAATCGTGAATCCGAACATCGTTTAAGCTACTTTGAAAAGTTAATGAGCCATGTCAAAATGTTATATAAATTTTATTTGTTTTCTGTTATTTTTTCTCAGGAAAAGCTAATTAAGCGAGACTATAATTTGTGGATGAACCAATCAGATTTACGCTAACAGGTCTTGAATTTTGGCGCGAAATCAATTCATTCATTTGGCTAAATAGAGTTTTGTCATTATAGCTGATATCAGTTCGTGATGAAAACCCTATATCTGATTCCTAACCCTAACTATCAACTGTAAATATTAATCTTAATTCCTCACTCTGTTTTATAACCGTCATTTATCTGTAGTATATAGGCTGACATTGCCAAGATCTCTTTAGTGTCGTTCGAAGGTCGTCCATAAATTATAGTCTCACCGCGGATAACTTTCTCGGGATCACTTTTGTAATTGCTTAAGTTTGTTCTTATTCTTCAATTTCGCTACATCTATTTATTCTAAGTGTTCTCGTAACTAATTATTGGTAGGTTTTACTTTACTTCTAACTACGTACAAGCTAACCGTCACAGGATATTGAGTTTTTACGAGCTCGTTTTCGTTAATCTAATTAGTTCGTCAGTTTAGTGTAATCCAATAAACATGGACATTGTTCTCAAGGTGATAATGTACATTTGTACATTATTGAGCTTAGTAGTTGAAGTAGTTAATCTTCAACGTCACTCCACCTGGATAGCATAATTAGCCGTCAGATACGTAAAATATAACTTGAAGCGGTGCAGGCAAACCTAAATGTGTTCTAATTATATCAATATTCCCACTTACTGATGTCCAGTTCAAAGTAATTTGACTTGTGATAAGTCCTATCCTCTGCATTGTTGACTGAATGAATAACTAATCTGCATTAACTTTTGTCAGTGTATGATGATCTCATTTGCGAGTTCACTGAGTCTTCACGATTAATAGACTTTGCAGGGGATTTTTGCAATTTATTTTCACTCCATATTAAATGTTCGACTGAAAGTGTATATAAATAATGTAAACGAACCCACACATATGCTAAATATTTTCTAATTATAATTGAGTTTTCTCACGATTCAATGTTTCTGAGATACTTCTCTTAGTCTATACACATACATAGGTTCCGATTTTGTATGTTTTTACTATGATCAGTTTTCGTAATTAACCTATTGACTATGATAAACTTTCCTCCTACTAAAATTGTTTCAGATACTTAATTGTCTATGGTAATTAAGAAATTTCGCTACACGTTCTGGATAATTTTTCTCTACGATGTATTCCCATTTTGTTTAGTAATTCTGCTTTTCAAGTGTTCACATATTAGTTCTGTTTATCTCTTTAACTGAAAGTGAGAGCTTGTTACCCAATGTGTCTGATAATATTTCGTTTTAAAAAAAACCAGCAAATAGTTTCCTTTCGAATTATTAATCATTGTCGGATAAGATTTTTACTGCGACATACATATCCCTCAGTTAGTATTGCGGTCATTTTGTGCCTTATATCGGAGTAAGGTGAAAAAATATCTAAAAACTATACCTTAGATAATACTATAAGAAAGGAAATACTATTTAGTAATATACAACTCTAGGTAAATTTTAAACAACCTGAGATTGTAATTAAAAAGTTTGAGTGATTAGTACTGGTCTATCCAGCAACAACCGAATAAATTTTGTCCAATGGAAGATTATTTAGACCATACAGCAGTAGTAGTACGAATCTAAGTTCTGATTAGGAAACTTAGATGATCTCTCAATGATCTGCATTAATTTTATTGAGGTTACAAGCATTGGAAAACCATTGAATGACTGTTTCTTCCCGGCGTGGGGCTCCCCAGTAGTATGCAATTTCTGGTGGCGGGGTCACAGATTTCCACTGCCGATGAGTTCCATACTGGGACGAAACAGCTGCCCAATAGTTCTAGTTTCTTAATGTTTGTTTAAATGAGGCATTTTTGACCTTGATAGAATGCAATAGTCTCCACGTTTTCCATACCGATAAACAGATTAATCTTTGTTTCAATTAAAATACTGTGATCAATTTGGTTTGATGCTAATATACATAACTAGAAAATTCATTTATATACATTTAAATGTATACATATTGTTAGTGTTTTTTGATTTTCACAATAAAGTGAAGCACGTGATCATTTAGAAGAATGTTTAAAGAAGGAAACTGAAACTCACAGAGAACAGCTAGCAAATGAACAACAAGAGCGTATTAATTTTGAATCGTCAATTCTACAAGAATTGGAAGATGCACGTAGACGTCTAGCTGATCTTGCCAATATTACAACTGAACGTGATAATGAAACTGTTCTAAGACAGAAATGTGAAGATGAATTAAAAATGTCCAAATCTAAGTTGAATGAAATACAGGTGCGTGTTTATGTATGCATATAGATTATTACTTTTTTTTCTATAATTGTCATAACAGTTAATCAGTTAGTCATAGTCCATGTAGAACCTAGCATAAATATACATTGGTCCGAGTTGTCATGCCATATCGGGAAGATTAGCTAAAACAAAATAATCTAATAAAAATAATGATGAGAAAGTCTATATATATAAGGATATATAGACCATAACGGGCAACACTTCAACATTACTCACTATTGCGTGAGGTGATCGTGCACTTGAAGGTAAGACACCTATGGATTCATTGTTTCTTTAGCCTCGAGAAATTTGCCTGAAGCCCGTGAATTCAAATTGGTATATGAGTATCCGCTAACACAGATAATACAATATCTCAACATGTTTCTACACTACTTTCATATCTGCATTATGTGCTGTAGATAGCCTGATTTAAGCGTAAATTTACTTGAACAACTCTCAAATGATTCCACGTTAGAATGTAACAAGTTTTTTTTCTCTTTACAATGCCTGGAGATTCCCGAGGTTGCTGTTAGAACGCTTTTTCAGTGATAGCGATGTCAACGAGCGATTGATTCAGACAAAATCTATATTCATGAGTAGAATAATGTGATTTATTCAAAAAATAACCTCATCCTATTAACGGAACAACTTTTTTTCAATGACATTAAGACTGCGGTACAATCGTGGATACTTTAAAAAAATTTGCTTGATGTCCCTGTCCAGTTAAACAATTTACTCACCCACATTAGCCCGCCTATACATACATCTTCTACCTACTATATTGTCTTCAGACAACACGTGATCTTTCTGACTTTTCAACAGCATATGATCTCTCTATAATTAAATTCTATTTTTACATTTTGTTCTATTCTTTTTAAAAAAGGCTAAATATGAACTGACTGAAACTAATTTAACTGAAGCTCAGAAAAGAATTATTGATCTACAAGATCAAGTTATTCGATTGCAAAATGATTTAGACAATGTGGAATCGGTCCAAGCTGATTTTGTTCGTTTGTCACAAAATTTACAAGTGAGTTCTATTCGTTTAAGTTGGTTTCACTTACATGTAAAGCGTTCCGTTTTGTATGATTATATCTAGGGTTACTGACCAATAAGTTGATGTTTTAAAACAACTTTTATGATTGTAAACCATCATCTCTATTCATAATGCTTGTGACTTGAAGTAATGTCGAGGCAATCCACACAGGATGTACATATGCCAATAAGAGACTGATCAATTGCAGTCCTAAACATCAATGGGAAGATTCAAGTAAACAATAAAAAAACTATTATAATTGTTATTATCAGTAGAATCATACTCGTCACTTGTTGTTTTCTGCATGAACCCATTCATAGGATTACCTTAACCAGGTTGCGTGAATCGTTAACTGGATCTTTTTAATGACTTAAAGTAGTTTTTTATTGTGACGCACGGTGTACTACACGCTAACTCCCTACTGACTACTTGAGCGAGAAAGTGTATTGAACTACCGAATGAATTGCACAAATGCTCATTCATATATACGACTCTATCCTTAGAAAATTAACACATTGACCCCAATGAAATGCACTTGACCTTTAGGTGACTTCTGATTGCCATCGATTGACCTTTTACTACTTCTAATTGGCTCTCCATATCAGTTTTAAAAACAGTCGCTAAAATAATAATCCAGAGCAAAGACTTTTTGTTCCTTCCTAATCTGGACACCTTTATCGTGTATGGAAAGCTTTAAGTTCCATCGGAATTGTGTTATTATTCGATTTTCGATTAATAATCCTATAATCGTGCATATTCAAACTTTACTGTATTCACAATACATCACGAATACCATTCAATTTGGTCATTTACAAAACAACACACTTGTCACTTGCCTTAAGATAGACTTCTCGAAGTCATTTATTTATTTATTTTTATTTATTATTATCAGCTTTATTCAATATTATAATTTTGGTACAATATAGAATTCTCAGCACAAAGTATTTCAACAAGTTTCCGTTTCTTACTTCTTGGTCGGTCCTGGCGATAAATATTGAGTGATCTCCAGTTAGATGTTAGCACTTCAGTGAATGAACAACTGAATGATGTACATTCTTTTCGTTGTATATTGCCAGCAACCATATTGTCTCTTATTGAGTTTTTTGTAACTTTGACAACGAAAGGTTGTACACTTTTCAGAAACGCAGCAGAATAGGTTATGCGATTAATAAACATAATGATATATTAAAACAAACAAAAATAGATAACTTGTTGAAATATCTAGATGGCAGGAACAGGTAGCCCAGATGCTCAAGCAGGCCGCCCTTTTTTAATTTTAATAGAGAAAACACGTCACCTTTCAGAGTAGTCAAATAATTTTTATATTTTAGCGTAATAACTTATCCGATAACAAAGTGTTCCTCTTATTACCCGTAAGTTTTCAGCGTTAAAATAATGGTTTGTACCGATGGATTGATAACATGCAATGGGACGATGTGATGGAATAGTGGCTTCTCATCAGACTGAGTTATTGACATCTACCTAGTATAATGTTAGTCTAACGACGTATCGTGCTCACGAAACACTGAACAAATGAACGAATATATTTAAGTCACTTATTTATTTATTTATTTAAACACATAAACATTGGTACAAGGAGGCACCAAACAGATATGCGCCACATAAATCATTCGATTTGTGTGAGGGCTGGGATACGACCCGGGTGCCCAGACGGAAGCAGGTGGTTTTCTTAGGGGGCCACACCCCGAGCCTTGTACCTAAAGGTCTGATCCACAAGGCAGTGGAGCATCATGAGGAGATGCAGTCCCATGGTAGACGGTTCCCTTAGGATACTGGAGCCTATGTGCACCATTGGTTTGGCATCCGGTTAAAGCGCCGGACATTCGCTTTTCGTCCTCTCAATTTCGTAAGCAACAGTAATGCCACGAGAAGGCAGTGAGTAGGACTTGCATGGCAGAGGCTGTATACGCGTGGCCGTGTGAGAGCATCTCGAGAGGGAGGGAGGGCGGGCCCACCCCACTCTTGGTCATACCAGGGCATTTGGGGGCAAGAGTCATTTAGCCAATAAACGACTTGAAGATAAAGTCACTGAAACTCACTAATTCTCCAATAGAATTAATGTGTAACTTCTAGTCTTAATCCTTGCTTCTTCATATTGATCGTCTGCAAATTCATCAATTAATTGAGGTATTGTTGATGTTTCATTGACGCTCTCGAATAATAATAATAGTCTTGAATATAGTAATCAGTCAGTTTGTCCTTTATGTAAAACATTCTTATTCTGAAATCTTTTAACATTTCCTCGTAAATATATCTTCAGTTTTTATCACTGAATTATTTTGAAAAAGTTGTTCTGTTAACTTACTAAGGAGGAGGTGGTGGCAGCGTTTCCTCTGAACAACATGACTTTACTTGTCTCTCAATTAGACCAACCAGTTAACACGACACAACACCACTAAACACATTGGTTTCTAATTGTTACATTCAATCATTGTGAACAGAACACACTATTGATTCTTCAAGTTACATTTCAATTATGTAGTTTTCGGTCTTTTTTATGTTGTGCTTTTAAATTTATTTCAGGTTCAACTGGAAAGATTGAGACAACAAGATCAAGAAGTAAGATGGATTAATCCAGATGACGTGACCAACTGTTTTTCGTGTAATTCAGCATTTCCAATTGGACTTTCTAATAGTAACAATTCGAAAAAAATCAATTGTCGTCATTGTGGTAAAGTTCATTGTTCCAATTGTACAAAGAATACTATGCCAGCTGGACCATTTGGTCATCCGGCTGTTGTATGTGATGTATGCCATACATTGTTGAATAAAAATATTGCTCCGTATTTCAGCACAACATCATTAAATAATAATAATAATAATGGTAATAATAATCAAAGGGATCACTTCCCATCTTCTAAACGTTTCAGTCTGTCATCGCCTACACAATCCTCAACTAATCTATCAACTAAACCTTCTTAATAACACTTATTCATTATTTATCCTTTCATAATATCAAATTACTACTGTTTTGTTTCTACTCTTTCGTTTAAATTTCTCTTCTAATCTAACTGATCTATAATAAATTGTTTGAGCTGTCATAAATTAATTGCATAATCTTTACCCTTTTTTTACTTAACTTCCTTCACAGTGTATACACAAATTAATTATTATATATTATTTTGCCTTTTTATGTATTTATTACTGTTTTAATGTTTACTTTATACTTCTTTGAATTATTTCTTCATGTAGACTTGTACGTGTGTATGTGAATCCCATACGCTAATGAGTTTGTGTTCATGTGATGACAGAAATCGTCACATAACCGTATTTGTGCGTTTTTTTTTGTATGAACTCAATCAAGTTTGTATATTTATGTTACTTTTGTTTTATTCATTTAAATATTGACTGTACCATCTTATTATTATTATTATTATTACTTTCATTATTATTATTATTATTATTATACATACATGTCTTTCAAACTTAATGTTTGTGTCCGTTTATTTGGTTTTCTTCATCAGCAAGATGTGCTACTTTGTTTTCATTTCAGTAGTATAAAATATGTATTCGTTTTGTTTTGAAAAAGCACACATTAGTTTGCCTATACGAGTATTAGCATGAAATTTATTAATTATTCTATTCATATTAAACATAATAAGACACTATTCCATTCTTACTTATTTATCTATTTTTTTCGATATGTTGATTATGTTAAACATGATCACGTATCAATCATTTTTGACGATTTATATGATAGTGTGAACAAAACAACAATGATAAACAGTTCTTTAGATTTGTATGAATTTAATTCATTTCTTACTTTTTAAATCGCTAGCTGAGGAAAAAACAGACTTAACAAGGAGATTTAAATAGGCAATAGTGAAACGTGTCCGTCGAGTGTATAGGTGTAGTTAATAAAATGTAAGTTGAAAAGTCAACTATTTCTCTTTTCTTCCTCACACGCTTCCTGATCCTAACAATATAGGTATTTGTTATGATTGTGGAAAAAGCTTCTGATTGTTTCAACGCGACAAATCTGACATGTTATCGAGATTGCAAATCAATGTAAGACAAAGAGCCATTGAATGAATGGACAGTTGTTTAGCCCCATTGTGAAATTACTTAGCAATGAATATCTACGACCCCTTACCAGAGGTTAAACCTGACACCTTGGATCTCTCGCTCGGTCGATTAATCTCTAGATCACTGAGCCGGGATCTCTTGGTATACAAGGCTAACTTCAATCCAATCTTGCTGTCGTGCGACTATATTCCATTGTATGCGGTGGGTACCTTTCTCACATCTGACATGAGTAGACTCCAGTGGCCACGGCTTCTGATTGAAACTCCAGGAATTCTCTCGGATCTAATCAACACATGATGTGGCTCGGTGTTTGGAAGAACAGTAACACTAGACGAAACCTTACTCATGATCCAATCACTGATTTACATTTATATCATTGCAGTTAGTAAATATGGGCGTCTTTTTTATTCAGGAATATCATACCATTTGATATTCACCATTCAACGTGATGACCCAACCGAGCTATAGTGACTGGAACATATGTTCCTGTAGGTTCTACCATGCCAGGCAGGTCGATTGGTGAACGGTAAGACTAAAAGCAGCAACTCAAGGTCTGAGGGCGAAGTCGTACTGCTGACTGTAGAGAGCTGTGACAGCAGTAAGGTGTTTCCCTCGGACAACCAGCATGACAGCGATACTGCCCTCTCACAAGGAGGGGTGGGGTTAGAAAAGGTCGACCCTAAAACTGTCACACCTTACCTCACGGATCTCCGTCTCCGGCGGTAAAGCCTATTGAAGAACGGAGCTAACACGTCAAAAACCGTCCACAAAAAGGCCGTGCGCGACCGGCCTCAAGTAGTTGTCCCTTGGGCTCTGCGGTCACATTCCCAGGTCTTTAAGACCAACACCAATCCAATTTCCTTCTCAGGTTCCTCAAGAAATACCCTTCCATGGTGTAGGCAGCCGGGAAGTGACATCAGCCCTCATACCCGTAACAGCACACGAGACCAAGGTGGTCACATTCAAATCCTTCCTACACCTCCTAATACCTCTCTTATCTCCATGACTAACCCTCCTCATATCGCTTTCTCACCTCGCACCGCTAGGGCAAACGATTCGAGTACACCGAACGTTATTCCTGGTCTCCTGAAACCACGCTCTAAACTACAGGTAGGAGCTTTTAACGTCCAAACACTGTGCCAAATAGGACAGCAGGCTTCCTTAGCTAAGACTTTAGAATCTCGCGCCATCGATGTGTGCTGCGTCTCCGAAACGCGCATACAGGATCCAGGTAGCGTCATTAATTTGACCTCACCATGCCAAAATAAAGAACCGACTCGATTTACGCTTCGTGTATCTGGAAGACCTGATTCTGCTTCCCGTGGCCTCGCCGGCGTAGGTATAGCATTGAGTCCTAGGGCAGAACTAGCCCTCTTAGAGTGGATCCCAGTAGACAGTCATTTGTGAGCTGTCTGACTAAACGAAACAGTAAGGACTCGGAAAGATAGCAACACTCGTCGTTGCTTCTTCGTCGTCTCTGCCCATTCTCCGACTGACTGCAGCTCAGATGATGTAAAAGATGAGTTTTACAGAACGCTTTCCAGCCTTCTCCGAAAAGCTAGGCGCTCGGATGTAGTAATAGTGGCTTGTGACTTTAATGCTCAAGTAGGTAAAATAGGCGAAAGGGAAAGACACCTGGGTGGATCTTATAGCATCGTGGCTCAAAGAACAGATAATGGCGACCATCTGTTGTAGCTATGCTCAGATAACCGCCTGTTTCTTGCAAATACTAACTTTAAGCATAAGGAAAAACATCTTTTGACATGGCGACCCCCCAATTCGTCTCAACGTTGGACCCAAATAGATCACATCGCTATCAGTTATCGATGGAGGGGCTCGACAGAAGACTGTCGCTCGTTCTGGAGTACATGCTTAGATTCAGATCATGCTCTAGTGCAAGCGCGTATTTGTTTGCGTCTTACTGGACGTAGGAAAGACGCTGTAAGTAAACTTCTTAGGGTCCTACTTAATGATAGCCAAGTTAAGAATATATTTCAGGAACAACTAGAAAAACAGTTAAGCAGCCATGTAAGTGATGCCCACCCCGAAGCAGCGTAGAATGATATCCGAAAAGCTGTGGAAACAGCAGTGATATCTGCTAGTAAGGTAAACCATAAGGTTAGGGAGAAACACTGGATCTCAGCAGCATCTATCGCACTGATAAATGCTCGGAAACTCATTCCACCTGGCTCTGAACATAACGAAGAGCGGAGTCAGCTTAAGCGCATGCTGATAAGAAGCCTACGCAATGATTGTGAACAGCGATGGGAAGCGAAAGCAAGAGATGGAAAAGGCAGCGGCACTAGGTAACAGCAGACAATTGTTCAGACTTGTTAAGGAAAACGGAAATAGGAACCCGACCGTTAGCGAAACAATCTCAGAGAAAGATGGACATATTATTCATTCTCAATCCAGGAGATTGGATCGATGGGCAGAACACTTTAGGGTTCAGTTCAACTGGCCTTCAGCCACACTTCGGTTTCCCACGATCTCTAGTCAACCTGAATGGCAAATTAATGTAGGTCCTCCGTCCCTTTACGAAGTTGAAAATGCCATAGGAAATCTGAAACGAGGGAGAGCAGCAGGCCCTGACAGGTTTACTCCTGAGATTTTTAAGGATGGTGGTCCAGTATTAACAATGAGATTACCCGAGGTCTTAGGTAGAATTTGGGAACAGGACGTAATCCCATCTGACTGGTCTCAATCACTGATTGTGCCAGTCTATAAGAAAGGACAAAAGTCCTTCTGTGACAATCACAGAGGAATCAGTTTGACTAATATAGTGTCTAAAATATTAGCTTCAATAATACTTCGACGCCTAATCAAAGCTCGTGAAGAGCAGATTAGAGAAAACCATGCCGGTTTTCGACCTGGACGTAGTTGTATAGATCAGATATTCACACTACGTCAGGTTCTAGAACATAGAAACACATTCGGACGCCCCACAATCGCAGTATTTCTCGACCTTAAGGCGGCATTCGACTCTGTTGATCGTGAGGTTCTATGGCAGTGTTTGTCACTGAAAGGAGTACCAAAGAAGTACATTAACCTTGTAAAGGCTCTCTCCTCGAACACAACTGGTAGAGTGAGAGCTTATGGCGAACTGTCATCAGAATTGATTACCTCAAGTGGTGTTCGTCAGGGCTGTCCACTCTCCCCATTCTTGTTCAACTTTGTGGTCGACGTACTTTTAGAGATAACACTCTCCTCATCTAAATTTTCAGGGGTTGAACTTGTACCGGGAGGTTCACTTGTTGACTTAGAATATGCAGATGACATAGTTTTATTTGGTGAAGACGCTGACAAAATGCAGAGTCTTCTGACCACTCTAAGCAACAATGCAAGCATGTTCGGGATGCGATTCTCTCCCTCGAAATGCAAAATGTTGCTTCAGGATTGGGTTACATCGACACCTGAACTAGTGATAGGGAGTGAAGTAGTTGAGTGTGTCGACCGCTTCACTTATTTTGGAAGTCTCATCAGCCCTTGTGGTCTGGTTTGTGACGAAATCTCAGCACGGATACAGAGGCTCGACTAGCTTTTGCCAACTTGCGTCATTTATGGTGTAGGCGAGATATCCGTCTATCAACCAAAGGACGGGTTTACTGCGCAGCAGTTCGTTCCGTCCTACTCTCTGGCAGTGAAACATGGCCGGTAAGAGTAGAGGATATTCGTAGGTTACTAGTATTTGATCATAGGTGTCTTCGAAACATTGCTCGTATATCCTGCGACCATCAAGTAAGTCAACACGTTGTTAGGTAACGTGGTACTAGGTACGGATGGCAATCAATTGCATGAAGTAGTGAAAACGTTCACAGTTGAGGTGGGGATCGGGACACGTGATACTTATGCCCAACGCCCGACTGCCTGAGACGTGCGATGTCAGTGGTCTAGGAGTAGGTTGGCAAGACAGCTAGGGGCGGCCAAACCAAAACAATGGCACACGGTCCATGCAGTCACTGACAAGTGGACTGAGTGATTTGGTAGGTGTAGGACTACCTGGTTGGGGACCGCGAGATGATAGCAACCGATGATTAGGAGACCTGAATGACATGGCTCAAAATCGTTTGCAATGGCGCAGGTGCATCCACTCTGTGTTCTCCCAAATTTTGATCTTCTTATTCCTCCTTGTCTCTTTTTTCTCTTTCCAAATTTATTTCACTGGATTATGCTCTTTAAATAACATCTACAAACCCTAATCTTCCCGATTACTGCTTAAACTCTTATTACCTCTACCACTACGGGGTTTGAATTGAAAATTGTATCTGTGTACTAATGTGGTGTGGTAACTCGAACTGATGTACGTACGTACGAAGTTCTACGTTGTTACTGACTAACTGACTGATCATTTTTGTATCTGTAGTTGAATTTCTTAATCTTTGCACTGATAAACTGCAAATTATAGTAGATAATGACTTGTATTACAGCGCACTTCATTAGCCGTATTTGATGTGATTAATTTCATTTACCTTATCATTGTCAATGGTTGTTATAGTAGGTCTCGATTTTATTTGATTTCGCTCAAATTGATTTGTGCGTATACAAAATGGCAATGTTTCTATATCATTCAGATCATAACGTTTATAGATTTTCACACACACACACACAGATGTGATCATTTAAATTGTTTTCATTTACGAACTCTTCCTGTCTAAAAAATTCTTGTTTTAAAATTTTTGGCAGTTTTCTCTGAATAGTCATGAACTATCTTATGTCTTACTGTTTAAACTCAAAATAAACATCTATGTTTTTTTACAGAGACTGCTTAGTAACTAATTATTTTGTGACAATATGATCAGAAAAATTAATGTTTCCCAATGTTTAA